TTGGAAGCTAATATTTAAGAAATGTTTCCAGACTCATCTTACTAGATAGTTGATGATTTCTACCTTATTTCAGGTTTACTAGGTCTGCTGAATAGTATGGGAAGGTGGACATTTATGTTGACTAGCCTCTGGGGAACAGGAAGGCTATTGATGAGTGGATGTTTGATGATAAAATGAGCAGTTCTATGAGTGTGAATGTTCAGAGGGAGAAAAAATGGTGTTGTAGGTGATAGAGCTATTCTGTCCCCTATTTTTTTCTTAGTGGTTATTATTATTATTATTATTATTATTATTATTGTGGAAGTGGTGACACCTACACACATATAGATGAATAAAGCTAAACTGAAATTCCACATAAAGCTTACCTGAAATTCCACAAAATTGTAAGTCAATAAATTGGAAAAAATTTAGTTGTATTTTCCTTTTATAAATTAAAAAAATAGCATAACTAACTCTGCACTAATACATTTTAAAATTGACGTGAAGTTAATAAGTTATATAAATATATAAATTAGAGTACGGAGAGAAGAATAAAGAAAATGTTAAAGGAAAATCCAGATAAACCTATAAAATTATAAAGGTATATGTTATTCTTAAAAAGGAGTATAGGCTTTATATTAGAAAATTATTTTAGAAAATGCTTCAATGTCTGCATTAATAAGTAAAATATTATAATAAAAATATTTACTTTTTTATCAGAGCAGGCATCGGAACAGTGGTATAACAGGTAGGACACTTGCCAGCAGCTGATTCAGGTTTGAGCTGCTACATCCCATATAGTCCCTCAAGCACTTCCAGGAGTGATCCCTGATCATAGAGCCAAAGAGTAAGCTCTGGACACCTCAGGTTGTGGCCCCCAAACAAAACAAAAATCTACGATGAAAAAATATCACCTTAGTAGACATAGAACAATCCATATAAAGAAATTTAATAGTGAATAGTATTAAATCCTGTAGCAAACTAAGAATAAATACATTAATCTTATAGAGGGCAGGCATAATGCCATGAGTGAAAGCCTTACTCAGGGGCAACATGCTGAGAAGCTTGTCTTGTCTTTTAAAGAAGCTCCATTAACGTGTCTTACAGTTCCCTAAACTATTGCTTGTCTATGAAACTGTGTATCTTTCAAATCTGAATGACAATCTAGCTGGGTAGTATATTTGTAATGAGGTGTTCATTTCATTGAATCACCTAAAGATACATAGTTACAAAGTTGTTGAGCTCTTTTTTTGAAAAACTATACCCCACCATTCTTGTTTGACTCATAGTCTCCTTTGATAGTTCTGTGGCTCTTAGGGGCTTTCCTTTTCATGCAAGTTCCTTTTTTAATCTTGCTGCTTATCTGTTTCTATCTCACCTGGGGGTTTGGAAGAACAAGTTCAAGAAGTGTGAAGGTGGCCAGCTGAGAAGATGGTGAGCTGTTGCTTTCTTTAGTATTTGTTCAGTTTCTCATTTTTCATGTGGTTAAATAGAACAGTCAAGTGCAGAATAGATGAGAATTTGTCTCTCCTTGGAGAGCATCCCAGTTAGTACCCATTTTGTCAATATAGTTATACTTTGACATATAGCTTTTCTCTGTTTTTTTTTCCTTAATCCTATTATATTTTAAATTCCAGTGTTACTGCTATGACACATCAAATCTCATTTCTGAAACTCTTCTCATGCTGGAAAGAGAATAGCTATTTCTCAGAAAGCACCGACACAGAATATAGGGCTGTAATACAAACTTAAAACTGCTAGTTTTTGCTTTCCTTTGTAATATATATAATTTAATTTGTTGATCTAGGGTATACCTCTAAGAAATATGTCTTGGTGTAGTTTCTGAAACTTCCTAATGCCAGTTCTGCTGCAGGTAGGATTAAATTCATCGAGCTGTTTTAGAATCACATGTATGAACCTATGAACCTGAGAAACTATAGGGTAGGTCCATGTGGTATGAACCAAGAGAGAATGAATGTTGGATTCATGCTTATCCTATATCCTTCAGAAATCTGGGTTGTGAAAGATTTATCTTTGTGTTGTTAACTTCTTTTAAGAACACTTCGAATATATGGGTATTTATGGTATGTAATCTGTTAAAAATTAAGAAAATAAGCTCAAGACTGAAAATAAATGTAGCACTGTAGCACTGTCCTCCCCTTGTTCATCAATTTGCTTGAGCGGCCCAGTAACACATGTGTGAGACTTGTTGTTTCCGTGTTTGGCATATCGAATATGTCAGAGGTAGCTTGCCAGGCTTTGCCATATGGGCAAGATACTCTCGGTAGCTTGCTGGGCTCTCCAAGAGGGGTGGAGGAATCGAACCCGGCTTGAAAAAAACCACTGTGCTATCGCTCCAGCCACCCTAAAAGGTAGAGGGGAGTCTGCAGCGGACCCCGGTGGGGGAGGGCACTGGCTAGGGGTTCCCATGCAGGCCGCCGAGGTCTATGCTCAGTGTGCGATCCCCTGATGTGGGGCAATCTGGAGAAAATAAATCAAGACTAAAAAAAATATTTTAAAAAGGGAATGTATTAAAATGAAAGAGTGAGGTAAAGATGGTTATATAGCAGTCCTTTGAGAAAAATACTGTAGGACTAGAGAAATAGCACAGTGACTTAGACTATCTGCTCTGCAAGTATATAGTCATGCATTCAAATCTCCAGTGTCCAGTGCCCCATGTGACTCAGCTGTGACCCTGGCATCTCTGATGTTTGAGCCTAGAATCTATGTTGCCACTGAATTTCCCCACTGTAAGTAGTTTTGACCTCACTCTCACCAGGTATATATAGCACTACAGAAAAGCGATGCACCCCCCCCCCATGAGCAGTGCAACAAAAAGATGTACAATCATACTTAGGAAGTGTTTTCCCTTGGCCAGCGTGTATGTAAGCACTGCAGCAACTCCCCAGTGAGCACAGATACAAGCCCTGCAACTTGCAAAGCGTGGTTTGCAAAGCTTCATGAGCAGTGCAGCTAAGGGAGCACGCACCACAACGTGACGTGTGACCCCCGGCAGGTCCCTCAGCCGGGCATGTGGGTAACTCCTGGTCATTGCAGTAACCTCAGCTACATCCATGAAGGGAAGGGGGTAAAGGGGAATAGATAAACATTTTTTAAAATTTAAATTTTTTTAAGTGTTGTACATTCAAGCATCTGCTTTATAATACTGCATTTGAAGAGAGAAGAAGGTTATGAAACCTTGTTTAAAGGCCTTCTTAGGGCTCTGGAGTGATAGCACAGTGGATAGGGCTTTTGCCTTGCACGCGGCCAACCCGGGTTCGACTCCCAGCATCCCATATGGTCCCTTGAGCACCGCCAGGAGTAATTCCTAAGTGCAGAGCCAGGAGTAACCCCTGTGTATCGCCAGGTGCGACCCAAAAAGCAAAAAAAATAAATAAATAAAATCTGATAGATTTTAAAAAAAATAAAGGCCTGCTTACTGGAACCTAACTACTATATTAATATGTTGTATATGAAATTTTCATTACTAGATGAGTAAGGAGAGGAATTTGAGAAATAATCTGACCAGCAATGGACATTTCTCCTCAGCTATCAAAGTTGAAGAGGTTATCAGAAAAGCATCTGTTAATTCAATGGTTAGAGTACATGATTTGCATGCTGAAGACCTGAGTTCATTCCCTGGCATGACATGGTTCCATGAGTGCCACCAGCAGTGACCCCTGAGCACTGAGGTTGGAATTATCCTTGAGCATCACGAGATATGAAACATACCCTATCTCCCCTCCCATCTCTATGGGACCAGATTAAAACCCAGGATGTAGGGTTTTGAGACTTAATCACGAAAGTGTGTTTATAATGCTATTGGAGAATGTCATATTGTCAGGATTGTTTCAGATTCTCTGGTTGAACTTAGGGGTTTTGCTCTTTTCTTGCTGTTATACATGTCTTCCTCCATGTATTGAAAAATACAAGCAGTTATAGGTAGATGGACATGGAGAGTATCATGTTAAGTGAAATGAGTCAAAAAAGATAGAGACAGTCATAGAAGGATTTCATTCATTTGCGGAATATAAAATAATGTAACGTGAGACTGACACCCAGGACAGTGGACACAAGGGCCAGGAATACTATGCCATAGTTGGAAGCATCTTTCATGAGCTGAAAAGGCAGCTGGAATAGAGAAGGGATCACTAAGACAATGATTGTTGCAGGAATCATTCGTGATGGGAGATGTGTGCTGAAAGTAGATAAAGGACCAAACATGATAACCTCTCAGTTTCTATATTGCAAACTATAATGCCCAAAAGTAGAGAGAGAGTATGGGGGAAATTGTCTGCCTTGAAGGCAGGGGGGGAGGGTTGGAGAGGGGAGGAGATATACTGGGGACATTGGTGGTGGAGAATGTGCACTGGTGGAGGGATGGGTGTTTGATCATTGTATGATTGAAACTTAAACATGAAAGCTTTGTAACTGTATCTCAAGGTGATTCGATAAAAAAGAAGAAAAGAAAAGAAAATACAAGCAGTAGAAATGCAATTAGAACATTTAAAAAATATTTATCGATTCATTGAAATTCTCCAGAGTTTTCTGAATTCTTATCGTTTTATCTTTTGTTTTTAACTTTGAGGCAGGCTCTCTGATAACAACCAGCAGTGCTTGCTTAGTATCCTAAGGGCTTAGAAACCTTTGAGAAAAGACCCCCTCTTCCTTGATCCAATAGAAATCTCCAAAGTGACTGTCATTTGCTTGATTTGTGTACAACTCCACCTTTGACTCATTCACTAGAGTATAGTGGTTGCACTGTAATAGTATATAGAAAGAATCCTTTTCTGCTTCTGAAATCTAGGGGTAAAGTCTTCTCATGAGGAAGGGGGATAAGGGAGAGACATTGGGCCACTGTTAGCATCAGAAGTGGATAGAGATAACAGAAGGAATAAGTGTCCATAATGTCCCCAAAGCTATTTAATGGGATAGTTTTTCAGTTGGCAGATGAGTTCCTCAGCTGAAATTTTCACTGTTGAAGCCTAATACCTTTCCACATTGCCTCTGTTTTGTCACAGATATTTGTTTCCCAAGTTTACACTGTGCTGGACTGAGTTTGTAGACATGAAGGTTCATGTGCCATGTGAAACCATTGAATACATTGAAGCTAATTATGGTAAGGCCTGGAAGATTCCTGTGAAGACATGGGACTGGAAGAATTCTCCCCCCAATGTGCAGCCCAATGGAGTCTGGCCTATTTCTGAATGGGATGAGGTTATCCAGTTATTCTAAGATCGTCGATTGAAATACTAGAATGAATTCCCCTCTTGAAAGGCAGATAACTCCCTAAAAGATAGATTTTAGAGTCTGTCTTTTCTAGATCATAGAAAAGATAAACTTTTCCGTTAAACATAAGTAGGAGCAAAAGAAAAATGATGAATATGAAGACACAGAAAAAGTTCTAATTCCTGAGCTATCTGACTTGATTTTCTGATCTTACATGTATGAAGGAATCTCCTTGTGCCTGGTACAATACTAGGTTACAATGGAGAATGAGATAAGTGAGACAGATGTCTACTCCCTTTTCCCCTCCCTTTGGTAAGCATCTCAGCCTTCTTTTGAGGAAACGTCCCCATCCTTTGATGAACTAATAAAATGTTGTTAATGTTTCCAAAACTTTTGATCATATTTTAACTTGAAAGTAGGTGAACCATTCAAAGCTTGCTATCCTAGTTTCAAAGGATAAGCCATTTAAGGTCTGAGGATTGAAGTTGGTTAGTGTTAGTGTTACTTTTTAAATTGTGGAGTCAAGGTTAATATTCAAATGACCACACTTTTAGATGAAATCAAAAAGGGGTGCTTGGCTGGGTATGAAGCTCAGTAGTAGAATGCTCACTTTGCATTTGTGAAACCCTAACACAGACAGCACACAAATAAAGATGATAGCTAATTTATATGTAAGCAACCATTTAGACAAAGGGCATCATTCTTTGAGAAAAAGAGAGCTTACTTATGGCTTTGTCAAAGCGAAATACATTTCCATATGCTTTCTATTTTCATATTCCAGTAAGAAGAAAACTTATGCTTGTGTGCTATTAAAATTTTCAGCCATTCTGAAGATATTTTCACTGACTTCTGCTAGAACTTGTTAACAAATCATACAAGTGATACCATACTACAAGACATGATTTTGAAAGGGTTGTGATTTCACAAAACTTGTCCTTATTTTATTCTCAACCACTCTTGGGTAGAAATAGGAGCTATTAATGACATTTGAAATTTTCTAGATTTATTATTCTATAATTCCAATTTTAATGATAACACCAAAATATTAATGGAAATACCGTCTGTGCTGGAGCGATAGCACAGCAGTAGGGCATTTGCCTTGCACGCAGCCAACATGGCCAACCCGAGTTCGATTCCTCCACCCCTCTCGGAGAGCCCGGCAAGCTACCGAGAGTATCTCGCCCGCATGGCAGAGCCTGGCAAGCTCCCCGTGACATATTCGATATGCCAAACACAGTAACAACAAAGTCTCCAATGGAGATGTTACTGGGCCCGCTCGAGCAAATCGATGATCAACGGGAGGGCCTTTACCTTCTTAAATTTTTATTTTACTTTTTTTGGGTTTTGGGTCATACCTGGTGATGCTCATGGGTCACTCCTGTCTCTGCACTCAGGAATTACTTCTGGCAGTGCTTGGGGGACTATATGGGATGCCTGGAATCGAACCCGGGTCTGGCACTTGAAGGCAAGCACCTTGCCCACTATACTGTCTCTCCAGCCTGCCTTTTTAATTTTTAAAAATGTACTAGTCAATATATTTGTTTATCAGTTGCAGCTCCATATTTTTACTATGGCCTCTAGGTCAATTTAAATGGGGCCAGAAAGACAGCTCGATAGGTTGGAGTACAAACTTTGCATGATGGAGCCTTGGGTTTGACCCCAACACCTCATCACTACAAGTGACCTCCAAGTAAAGATTTGGGAGTAGTTCCTGAGCACTGCCAGATATGATGCCAAAACCAGTAAACTAATTTCAGTGGTATGTAAATCTTCATGTTTATTCTTCTCTTCCAATACTTTATTTTCAATCAGGTCTCAAAAATAAAGACAAATGGCAAACTTGGCCATTGTTTCTCACTCTAGATGTTCCTAAAGTTTTGTCATACATAATTATTCTGTTAAAAAATGATGGGATAAGAACTCAGACTTTCCTCTCTATCAAATTCCACCTGCTCTAAAGCCCTCCTATTCCCTTTTTCTCCTTAAAATACTTCCTGAGTATGCGGGATTGTTCTGTCTCATCACAAGTCTCTTTAAGTATATACACCAAATAAAAGGTAAAGGAATGTGAAGGTCAAAGAAGCCCTTTTTTTTTTCTTTTCAGTTAGGAGGCTTTTTTTTTAATCTTGTCTAGGCTGCCTGGACTACTTTCTTTTTTCCTTTTTAGAAGTTAATATTTCTTTAATGCTTTATTTTTTGGAATGTCTTCTGTATTATCACTTCCTTTTTAATGTTTTTATTGACTCACTTTAATAGACCCTTACAAAGCTGTTCATGATTGGATTTTAGTCATACAATAATCCAACACCCATCCATCTGCCAGTGTACATTTCCCAGCATCAGTGTCCCCAGGTTCCCTCCCATTCCCCCATCCCCTACCTCCTGCCTCTATGGCAGGCACTTTTCTTCCCCCTCCTCCCCTCTTGGTCATTGTGGTTTGCAATATTGTTACTGAAAGTTTATCAAGAATATCCCTTTGCCTACTTTTATCCCTCAGATCTTGTCCAGCATTATCATTCCCAGCTACTATTGTATACTGGTCTCTTCTCTATCTTACCTACCCTCAGCCCCCCCACACACTTGTGGTTAGTTCCAACCATTGACCATGGATTACTCTCATCACCTTATTTTACTCTAGTACTGGAAAATAACAAGAAGGCCAAAACTAATAACTAGAATATCTGAGCAAATAAACTGATACTTTTTCTAAAACAAAGTTGGGTAACTAGGTCTGGAGAGAGAGGGTATAGGGGATGGTCCTCCAAGTACTACCAGACATGCTTTCTGAGCACAGAACCAAGAGTAAACCCTGAGAACAAATGGGTGTGACCCTAAAACAAAACAAAACAAAGCACACACACATACATACATACACACACACACACACACACACACACACACACTCACCCCTTAATCGTGGAAATGTACTTGTGTTCTTCATCTACTCACTCCAGAAACCTTTGAAAAAGAAAAGAATTTTTAATAAATGACAACTAGGAGATTTCCTCTCATTAGGATGGATTTTCAATGCATAATCATTACATCTTTCAATAACATAATCATATATTTAGAAGCCTTTATAGATTATCAGCAAACTTGTCCCCAAATGATCAGCTATTATAAGTAACTTTCGCTTGCTAGAAAATCACACCTTAGTAATCATACCCAAATTTAAATAGCTAAGCCTAATTTTCTTTTTTATGATTGGAAAAGTATTTTCTGGAAAAATTGGAAAAATACATTTCTGACTGTTTCAAATGGGCACCCCCAATTTGCCTGGGGAACTCACCCACCCATATGTAGATTTTACTTGGTTTATTGCGGGGAGGGGGTGATGCCACCTGGTGGTGTTCAGAGCTTACTCCTGACTCTGAACTCAGAGATCAATCCTAGCAGGATTCAGAGGACCCTATCTAGTGCGGGGGATCCAGTCTAGTTCAGACACATGCGAGACAAATCGCAAGTTCTCTACTACATAGTACTGTCACTCTGTTCCCAGATTATTTCTTTTCTAATTGCTACTAAAGTAGCAATGAATTTGAAGTGTGCAAAATATTAGCTACATTGATCTCTTCCATAGACCTCTAGCTGCTAAAATATCTCCTTTGATTTTATCTAGTTTAACAGATTTGACCCCTTGGAGCTTACTAAATTGGGAGTATGAAAGCTTTTCTCCAGACTCTAAAAGCCAGGTTTGGGGCTGGAGCAATAGCACAGCAGGTAGGGAGTTTGCCTTGCACGCAGCCAACCCAGGTTTGACTCCCAGCATCCCATATGGTCCCCTGAGCACTGCCAGGAGTAATTCCTGAGTGCAGATTCAGGAGTGACCCCTGAGCATCACTAGGTGTGACACAAAAATATAAATAAATAAATAAAAGCCAGGTTTGTCTCAGTGATTCAAGCCATACTTCACCTTGTGCTTTTGTTATTGTTATTTATTTGTTTTTGTTTGAGGGCCACACCCAGCAGTGCTCAGGGCTTATTCCTGGCTCTGTGCAAGTGATCACTCCTAGCAGGCTGGGATGCCAGGGATTGAACCCAGGTCTGGTGCACACAAGGCAAATTCTCTACCTGGTGTACTATCAATCCAGCCCCGCCCCATGCTTCTTAACAGTTTTCCTAAAGTTTTGCTTTATGGAGTACCCAGAGTTTTAGGTCAGGTGGATCAACCACTAGAACCTTATTAGATCACTTTTCTTTTCTCACTTGAATATTCCAAAATCATTCTCTTTATGCGACACTCTTGGGTCCAGTTTGCAGGACTTATCAGATGGAAACCTTATTATGATAGCTAAAAGTTAGGCGCTTATGTGTGTCCAAAGGAAACTTGCAGACAAAATTAACAACCTCTCACTTGACAACCAGGTTGCCACTCAGTCCTTTTCTTAGCAGGAAGTACTTGTCTATCCTTCTCTTTGTTGTAGCAACTGAAATCTAACTCCTAGGATAAAACCACAAGTTCCAAAAATTGAACATCCCTAAGAAACTGCCCTTTCCTTGTTTCTCTCGCTATAGACCCTGAAATGTGACTGTTAGATGTCTGCCATCACCCACTTCAAAACACTCAAGTGTCCTTTATCTTGCTCTTGAATCCTAAAAGCTGCCTGGAACCTCATTGTAATATTCATTGTAAACCGCCACCCCCTTCTTTTTTAAAAATATGGTTTTTATAGTGTTGGGGGCACACCTGGAAGAGCTCAGGGACTACTCTCAGCTCTATGCTTGGGAGGTACTAGGGACAATGTGATGCCAGGGATTTAACCATGCAAAGTTGGACACACAGTTATTTTAGTACTTAATAACTAAACAAATAAGCCACTAAAAAACTCACTGGAGCAAGAACCACTGCTCCAAAATTCAAATGTGCCATGACTTCTGGCCTATTCCATTTAGTTGTATAATAGAACAGAATCTTTAATGGTGTTTGAGATGCTTGACAGAAGTTATGGTGTGTCTGCCACTCCCCCGTGCTCAGAATGAGAGCCTGCAGTGACAAAGCCATCAAAGGGAGGAATGTTACTTTCCTGTTCAAAATTCTTAAACTGCTTTCACAGTTTTTTTTTCAAAAAATACTTTTTCAAAAGAGAAACTTTTGAAAGTTTGACAATATCAACCTTGGTTGTGATACTCTTTTTTTTAAAAAAAATATTGAATCACCATGAGTTGCAAAGTTATAAAGTTATTCATGATTGAGTTTCAGGCATACAGTGTTCCAGCGACAATCCCTTTACCCATGTCCACTTCCCTCTACCAATGTCTCCAGTTTTCCTGTGTGCCCCAGTCTGCTTTTATAGCAGGCACCCCCCCCCCCCACACACACACACTCTACTTTTAGACTCTGTCATTTAAAATGGTTACTTATGGGACATCCTGCATGTCATTTTACACTGACGTTTGGGTTCACTTTTTTTACATGTGGCTGGCCATATTTTCCCAGCACCACTTAGTAAAGAGGCTTTCCTTGCTCCACTTCATATTTTTTACTTCTTTATAGATTAACTGACCATATGCCTGAGAGATTATCTCTGG